CTCAGCCCGACCCCATCTGTTCCTTTCCTTTCGGTATCCCACCGAATCTGACCTGAGGAAGGAGAAAAACCAGGATCAGCGTCTGGGGAAGCGGAGACAGCAGAAGGGAGACCATTGCTTTTGGGGAAAGGATGGGGAGATAGTCTCAGGAGTCGCAGCTGCTAGATCCCGGAGCTTTATATCTGAGGGGACGCCCCGCCCCCTCAGGCCAACCTCCTGGCTACCGACGGAAAGAGGGGTCGAAAGGAAAGGGACACACAGTAACTCTATGTAGGCGACTCATCGTGAGTGTGATTGCATGCACCAATATGAAAGTGACAGGGGTTAACAAGCCTCTGTGTGCCTGAGTGGTACAGGTAAGGCCTACTGAAAGGTGACTTTGTGTGTATGTGTATGGTGTGTGTGTGGGGGGAGTCATATATGGCTTAACCTGTGTGGACAGCTAACACGGTTGCGAGGTTATAAAGAATTCTAAGGTTCTGTGCGTACTGGAAGGGGAGGACGGAAATACAGGTGACTTTACTGTGGCCGTGTGCATTCCTCTCTATCGTGTATGTGAGGTCCTGTCCACTGTGGAGGACCCTGTGAACCCGTGAGTGCTGTGAACGCGTCTCCGGCGGGCTGTGTGCGAGGTTACAAGGAAGCGTGTTTGGGAGACCCACAGATGAGGCCGTGAGTGAGTAAGAATCCTGGGTTCTTTGTGTGGAGCCCTGTGTGTGTGTGGAAGGCCTCTTGTATGTATGCATGCGTGTTTCCTCTTCTTAAAACAAAGCCTCCCTCTGCGAAGCCAGCATAGCCACCAGACGCCAGGCTCGGAGCCTCGGCTCAGAGGGGCCTCCCAGCTGTATGTAAATGTCGCCATCTGCCGGGCGGCCGTGCCCCTCCCCCTCGGGCCGCAGCTGGGCCTCCCGTTTGGGCTCAGGAAGGTGTGAGGGGCAAATGGGCAGGAAATTAGTCTTCAGGAACCAGGGGCCCACTCTCCACCCCAGATGAATGTAGCCGCCCACCCCACTCCCAAGGGGGCGGGATGTCAAAGGATCCGGGCAAGTAAAACAACTTAGGTGCAGGTGTCCAGGCTCTGGTCATAGTGTGTTGGTGTCAGACACTGTGCAAGGCTGCTTAAACAGAGGAAACCCACTCCCCACCCCCAGTAAATAATAAGTTAATACTCAGAGCTAATAATTCTAGGGAAAATACAAGTTGCACCTATATCCACATTTGTCTTGTAGAGGGAGGCAGCTGTCGTCCCACTCAGTAAATGTTTAGTAGAAAAAGAACCATGGGTGATGAACACGGCAGACCTGTAATCCCAGCACTGCAGAAGCAGGACAATCAGGGGAAAGAGGTCAGCCTGGACTACATAAACCCATTCTCAAAGACAATACACAAACAAACCACAAAGCCTACCGCTCCTGGCTTTGCCTCAACCACGAGGCAAGGTGGCATTTCCAGAACTCTGAATCACAAAGCAGACTTTAAGGGATTTCTGAAAGTCTTCTTAGCTGTTTAGGGCTTTTTGTTATACACAGAAACAGTGGCCATGCTACCATCTGGATCCCGGGGAAGAACACAAAACACAGAGGCCCTAGGGCGACCATGGCTGTTCTACCAGCCAGTCCAAGTAGCTTTTCCTCTCATTTCATTCTAGGCTCTGCTGCCACACACACACCTTCCTGAGAGGCCCTGCAGTTGGTGAGGTGGCTTAGCCTAGGTGCTCACTGCCAAGCCTGTGACCTGTTTTATCCCTTGGACCCACAGGATGAGAAACTGCCCCCAAACGCTGTTCTCTGCCCACGCTACCCCATACATATAAAAATGTAAAATAAATGAAACACCTTCAAGGCCCCAAACCATGGCTTCTCTCCTCAGTTCTCTCTACTGTGCTCAAGACTGAACATTCCTCCTGCCTGTTAGGTTAACACTCTATGGCTGAGCTACAGTCCCAGGCCTCTCCTATTTTGAGACAGTGTGGCCAGCCTGAAACTTTCCATCCTCCTGCCTGTTTCCTGAATAGCTAGAATTATAGGTCTGTGTCCCCCTTTTCTTTGCCCCTCCTTTTCTATCTTTATCCCCCACAACAGCCTGCCTTGCACCTTCCCTGAGGGACAGTGGGTGCTGCTTCCTAGCAGCCTTGCTCGATACTGTCTTGGGGGAGTGGGGTGAATCAGTTGGTGTCAGCAGGTACTTAAGCAACACACTGCAGTAAGACTAAAACTCACTCCCAGAGATAGACACTAATACTTTGTCTCAAGCGTTTCAGTGGTGGGGCCTGGGAATTCCGATCCCACCACTGGGCGTGAGGGGACATGATCATACATAAACGACTCCTCACAAAGCCCTAGAGCACGGGCATTTGGGGTTAAATGCCCAAGCCTCATTATGTGAGCACTGCCTCTGGGCTTCTGTGCCTATGCTCAATTCTCTCCTCCAGCGAGTGACAGGAGACAGGGCTGAGGGAGCAGACTCAAAAGTCACATGGCAAATCCATTCTAGAAGAGTGTGGGGGGCACACGGCTGGAACCCCAGTACTCAAGAGGCTGAGGCAGGAGGATCACTCAAGTTCAAAGCCAATTTGAGCTACACAGTAAGACCGCCTCTAACATGATACCCCCTCAGAGGGACAAAGTATGTTTCCCCCACTCCAAAAATCAAGTTCCCTCCATCCACAACTCACTCCACCCAGGACCCCATTTCCTACACCAAGCGTTGGTCCACTGTTGCTCTTTCAGACACAGCCTCCAGATGCAAAACACACACATACCCCAACACAGAGACTCTCAGCTAGTGGTGGCACACACCTTTAATCCCAGCTCTGGTGGGAGAGGCAGTTCTCTGTGAGTTGGAGCCCAACCTGGTCTACACAAAGAATTCCAGGCATGGGAGAAAAAGGAGGAGTTCTCAAAACATGTTGGGAGTACCCCTCTGTACTGTCCAGGACTCTAGGCTGGGAGTCTTGGTGTTAATTTTAATTCCTTGGATAGTCTTGCTACATAACCAGTTTTCCTTCAAACTTGTCAGTTCTCCTGTGTCTTAAATACTAAAATTACAGCCCTGTGGCACACCAACCCTTCCCTCCATGACACCCCTAAAGGCATTTTAAAGTCTAGAATGCAGTCTTCATCTGATACATAGCTTGAGATTTCGTGAAAGCATTAATTCTTTTGTTGTCGCTTTACACTAGACTAACAGGAGGTGCTGGCTGGAGTAGAGAGGCTTGGGTAACAGACAAAGCAGACCTTTACCCTGCTTCAGACAGGAAGAAACGAAAACCTTTAGTACCTTGCCTAAGGTTTGTGTGGCTACTACACAAGGACCTATACATTCGGTAAGAACTATTTTGAGTGGGCTGGAGACGGCTCAGCAGTTAAGAGCACTGGCTGCACTTGCAGAGGTTCAGTTCCAAGCACCCACACAGCAGCTCCCTTACAACCTTGAGGGATTCAGTACCTTCTCACGGCCTCTATTGAGTTCTGTAGGCACACAGTGCACTGACAAAACACCTATAAACATACTGTGAAGAATAGACTATCACTGGGGCTGGAGAGATGGCTCAGGTTAAGAGCACTGACTGCTGTTCCAGAGGACCTGGGTTCAATTCCCAGCAACCACATGGTGGCTCACGACTGTCTGTAACCCCAGGTCTAGGGGATCCAACACCCTCACAGACAGGCAAAACACCAATAAATATAAGTAAACATAAATAAAAAACCCTATTACTTTATAGATGTAGAAAGTGACCTCAGAGAGGCTAACAGCCAGTAAGAAACGAGACCTTGAGTTTGAACCCACAACTGGGACTCACATGCTTAAATGCCACAAAGTTACACTTTTCAAAGCAGAAGCTAGCAGGCAATGCATGACTGTTAAATAGGAGGCTGGGGCTATGGCTCAGTAGGTAGAGGGCTGCTTCTCAGCATAAAGGCGACTGAGTCCCAGCACTACACCAACTGGGTATGGTGGTACATGCCGGTCATCTTGACAATTAGGAGGTGGTTAAGATCAGGAGTTCAAGGCCATCCTTTGCTACATGGTTACACCAAACCAGCATGGGGTATATACCAACAAACCAATCCAAACCAGAAGAAGCTCTAGAGGGTAAAGACCTCAGTAATGACTGGAGTTCTGTCTCCAAGACCCACATGTAAAAGAACAGACTCCCAAGTTGTCTTCTGACACACACACACACACACACACACACACACACCCCTCTTACAGGGTGACACTGTCTACTTGGCATGTTCCGGGCTGTCTGTTCCATCCTTAGTTCCACAAAGATAATGAAAAATAAAACTAGAGGAATCTTCTTGTTTTTAGATCTTGATTTCTAGCAGAGAACAGCGGCACATCCGTCCAGCCCCAGTTACTTAGGATGAATACTTAAGACTAGGACTTCCAGGCTAGCCCAAGCTGTGTAAGAACCAGTCTCCAAAAGAAGAAAAAAATACTGGGGCATAGTGGTAAATGCCTTTAATCCCAGCACTTGGAAGGCAGAGGCAGGCAGATCTCTTGAGATCAAGGCTGGCCAGCTCTATGCAGTGAGACAATGTCTCCAAAAAGAAAAAACAATCCAGATTTCTAGCTTCCACAAGGTGTGGATGACTGACAGCTCCAGAACCACAGTCCCAAGGAGCCACACAGCAGCTGGGCTGACAGTCCTTGAGGGGGCTCTCCAGAGGCCATACTTCTCTTTATTTCGACAGCACACAGGAGGAGAGAGAAGGAGGGAGAGAAGAAGGGGAGGGAGGGGGAGGGGAAAGGGGGGAGGGAGGGAGGGAGGGAGGGAGGGAGGGAGGGAGAGAGAGTGAGGCTCATAGAATGTATGGGAAGACATGTGCAGCAGAAACCCAGGTTCTCCATTTTTCCATTTCAGGCTGGCAGGAGCCCCACTCCAGCAAGGCACTCACAGGACCCGGCCTAGTGGTAGTGCCCAGTCACTGTGAATGATGACCGAGTCCAAGACCTCACCCCAGTGCCCCATCTGGATTCTCTGGACACAGACATTGTGGCATCTGGGACTTGCTTTATTGGACACACAGCTGTCCAAACCTTGCTCTGTGAGGGCTGGGGCCCGAGGCCCAGGCACCAAGTCTCTGAGTTGGCCTAGTCATCATGGCTGCTTGGAGCGAGGCCACAGGCGGCTGGCGAGTGAGCCAAAGAAGAGCCCCTGCTTGTTGGACTTGGAGAGCTCGGCCAGGCGCTGCTGCTCCTCCTGGGGTTGAGGGACAGAAAAGACAAGGGTCAACTCAGGAGCCTGCCTGTCATTACACTCAGGCCCAGTATAGAACCCAAGTCTACATGTTAGAACCAGACCCTGGAAAAAGCAACTGGAGCCCCAGGGGTGCAGGACTAGCGTGCCTGAGACACTCTTCTATCCCTAGCACGCTCAAAAACAATTAAAAAGTCAAATGCTGCCATAAGTACTGTCAGGGGAGGGAAGCTACACCTGTAAAAGTAGCATTCAGAAGACTGAGGCAGGCAGATTCAGTTTCTGGCCAGTCTGACCTATATGAGATATTGTCTCAAAAAGAAAACCAACAAAACACTCCTTCCCCGACCCTGAGACCAAGTGTCCACAGATCCCGAGTCTACCACGAAAGGTCCTAGGACCGCCCAAGGCCATGGGGGACTTATCTTGAGTGCTGACTATTTTCTGCCTCCTGTTTCTAGGCCAGGGTGCAAACTCAGCAGAGCAGCCCCGCAAGGCTGTGTGAGAGCTCTCCGTGAGGTCTAGGCCAAGGAGACAGTGCTCAAGTCCAGGGCACCCACTTCTTCTGAGAGCCTCAAAAGTGCCCAGTAGGAACTAGAGCCTAACCTGCTCAAGCCGGCTCTGCCGCTGTTTGAATGCCTCCAGTGGGTCATCCTCCAGCGCATAGTGCTCCAGCACGGTCCGCACATCCTCCACTTGGTTCAGGGCAATGGCTGCAGGCACAACAGGTAAGGAGGAACCAGTCAGTCAGATCTCTGCACGACCCAGGGTCAGTATACCCTGGAATGCTGTCAGTGGTGAGAGGGTTCCTCCAAATATGCCCAAATAGCCCCTAAGAGAAATGCCTGGATATTCCAGAAAATTCCAGAAGGTTCCAGGATACTCATAGGTCTTTCCCACCCTGACTGCTCAGTTTTACACTAATGACAAGCCAAAATCAAGTGTCTGCATTGTCTTCAGGGTCAAGGGCTCTGGTCTCACTCTTAAGGAAGGCAGACAGGTCCAGCAAGACCCGATCATCTGAGTTGCCATCCCAGGGCCGCAGGGCGACACCGTTGAAGGGCTGTAGGCGGAAAGCTTCCTTCTTGCAGTCCACAACCACTACTCGGGCTGGGTCCCGATTCAGACATGAGATGTCCTGGAAGTGAGTGTGACAGATCAGGGCATCAGCTCTCCACCCTGCTGACTGCAGAGGGGACAGACACAGCATCATACACTTGAGGATATGGCTTGCAAAATTTCCCGAATACAGGTTATGGAGGGTAACCTCAGGCTTCTGGGAAACTGGGGAGCTGGTCATATGGACACCTAAGCTAGGAGTCTCCGGAGAGAACACGGGCTCTGTCTGGTGGGTTCAATTCACACCCCAAATCCGCAACGGGCTACAACTAGACTCACTACAAACCAGGAATTTACAGACAGGCCCTTGTCAAAGCCTGAGTTTATATCATACAATGGCACAAACTCCTGAGCCACCAAGCCATAAGGGAAGGCCTAACAAACACATGTCTAATAGGAGCCTGGGCAACATGTCTAGATGCTTGGCTAGCCAAAGAAACAGGTTCTATGACAGTCCCAAGCACAGCCTCATGGAAGCCATTTACAGCTCCAGAAGCAAAACCTGGGCCCCGACCCCTCACACAACCTGGAGGCAAGCACGGACATCTGAGGGAGCAAGGCTCTTCCTCTCAGCAGTAGAAGCACCCCCAAATCTCTCCCCGAGGCCCACCGTGATCCCCACACGGCACCTTCACATGATGTCCCTCCATGTATCTGGTGGCATCCCGGAACAGACGGTAAGAAATGAAGCCATGCGGATCCACACTGTCAATGAGTGGAAACGCTGTCTGCAAAGATGGAGAGAAGGTGAGTTGCTCCTGCCCCCGCGCTTCACCCACGTGCATCACTTCCGCCTCAGTGCCTCACCATGCCAGTCTCTGACGTGAAGATGACAATCTCATACAGAGGAGCGAGCTGCTGGAACAAGGTCTCGATGCCCGGACGCTTCTTAAACCTCCAGCCAGTGGCCAGCTGCGGAGGCAGTAAGGACAGAGGAGCGTTTAGACCAGAAAGCCCAAAGGGTCAAGACCCTGCCTGAGGGTCCAGAGGCAGGCATCTGTCTGCTCCTGGGGGTTGAGGTGCATATGGCTTGGCCTCACTAATGTCCATCTACTCTGAGTCAACCTAAACTAGGTACCGAAGGACACAGGGAGAGTGCACGGCAGTGGGCGGGCCCCACACCACTCCTGACCCAGCCCCCAGGAGGATCCCAACACACTGCCTTCTGCAGGACACACCGACCACTCTGGATGCAGAAGGACCCCGGTGAGCTCCAGGACCAGTGTGTAAGGTGGCTGGTAGTAAGGCTCCCGCAGAGGGTCTGGGAGAAGGCAGGGGCTGGTGGGCTCGATGATCATCTGCAGGAGATGGACCGCTCGTTCAGATACAGGGCTGGGCACGGGAGACAGGCTGCACCCAGCCCCCACCCCCACCCCACTCACCTGTCGGTAATCTTTGAAGTACTTGTATGTCCGGCGCAACTGCTGAACCAGAATTGGATCTAAAACACCAGGCACAAAGGGGTTCCAAAGTAAGCCGCTGTCCACCTCCCGGACACACCAGCTCAGTTATATTATTTCTTTACTTGCAGAACAAACAGATCTCTCAAGGAAAAGTGAGAAAAAGTCCCCAAGAGTCGGAAAGTTTTTACGGGAAGAACACTTTATTGTTTTGGGTTTTTTTTGTTGTTGTTGTTTACAATTTCTCTGTCTACCCCTGGCTGTCCCAGAACTCACTCTGTAGACCAAGCTGGCCTTGAATTCAAGGAGATCCTCCTGCCTCTACCTCCCAAGTGCTGGGATTAAAGGCGTGTGATACCACACCCAGCTAACATTTTTTAAAAAGTATTTTAAGTATATGAGTACTCTATTTGCATGTACACCAGTGTGCCAGAAAAGGCCATCAGATCCCATTTGTTGTGAGCCATAGTGAGGTTGCTGGGAATGAACTTTGGAAGAGGAGCCATCGCTGTTAGCTACTGAGTCATCCCTCACCACTACCTCACTACTACCACCTCTGACAGACATTTTTGTTGTTGTTGTTTTTGGAGGATATCCAAAAAAACCTTTTTTAAAAAAAAAAACAAAACAAAACAACAACAACAAAAAAAAGACATTCATTTGTGTGTACATGTGGTCTCAATACATAGATAGCCCTGGCTGGCCTGGAACTCACTGTGTAGACCAGGCTGGTCTTGAAAGGCCCTCCTGCTTTGTCTCTTAAGTGTTAGGATTAACTAAAAGCATGCCGACCTTCACGGAGGTGGTTTTAATGGTTGTAATACTGGCATCTGATGAGTAGACACCCAGGACACGGTTTAAAACATCCCACAACATACAGGACGGATGCCCTGCAACAAGGAGCTACCTGGTTGGAAGTGGAGACACAGCTGGGCTGCAGCAGCACAGGTCTGTCACCCAGTGTGCTGTCACCCCAGCTGTGCAGGGGGCAGCCAGGATTACATAAGGAGTTTAAAGTCAGAACAAGCAATTTTGTAAGATCTTGTCTCAAAGGGTGGGGATGGGGGTGAAGGTGGGGTGGGGATGGCTGTACCAGCAGGCAGGGGAGATGGCCCAGCAGTTGGGTCCCTGGCAGCCATGTCAAGATGGCAAACACCTGTTACTACTATAGCTCCCAGCGCACTCTTATCTAGCCTGAGGGCACACACACAGATCCATATGTCCGCACACACATACCTAATTTTAAAATTGAAACAATGCTAGGGACGCAGACAACCCTTGCCTAGCACCAATCACCCGACCCCAGTAGCCACTGTCCTAATAAAAACCTTCAGTGTTAGAGCCAAGGGCAAAAACTCTTGGCTCAATGAACACAGGAAATTCAATGGAAGTATTTCAGTGTGTCCTTTTAAATCTAGCTCTATCTATGAACCTGCCTCTTAGAAGTCACAGTGTTGACACCAGTTTAAACTAGTAGCCACACTTTAACCTCCCATGCCTACCTGCCCAATTTAGATAATTTGTTTAAACCAGAGGGGAGCAGGGCATGGTGGTGCAGGCCTTTAATCCCAGCAACCGAGAGAAGAGACAAGTGGGTCATGTGGGTTTGGGATTAGCCTGGTCTACACAGTGAGCTCTAGGATAGCCAGGGCTACACAGAGAGACCCTGTCTCAAAAACAAATAAGTAAGGAGGAAAAAAAAAAAACTCATGGAGGTGGGGGTTGTCCAGTTAAAAGAGCATACTCACCCATCTGCCTGGTGTAAACAAAGCAATCAGTGCTTGTACAAGCTGTCTGCACACCTCCCCCACACAGGCCTTTCTGACCCACCAACTTCACTTTCTCTAAGGAAGGGGCAGGTAAAAACCACAAGGACTCCACAGGAGTCCAGCAACTCCAAGGATCTAACGTATGGGACGTTCCTTGACACACTCTGGGGAGTCTGGGTGTGTGGAGATGCAGAGGCACAGACACAGGGAGACATTGTTTTGGAAATGAGGCAGAGAGCTGGAGTAAGGACTTAGGGATTTTAAAAAAAAAAGAGAGGGTGTTATAAAAGAGTGGGGTCAGGGGCTGCAGATGCCCAGAACTAAGGCACAGACATCCCTGTGTCTGGGATGGACTGCTGACACTCCCTGCCCCCATCTGTTCCCGGCCATCTGCTCCAGGGCAGAGGGGCAGGAAAGGGAGCTGCAGCTTTTGTCACGTCCCTCCCCTGAGCCATCTAACTGTTGCACCTCCGTGGCTGGAGGAGGGGTTGGTACACAGGACAGGGCGCACCGTAAACAAACAAAGTGGCAGAGGTGGGAACCCCAGCTGTGTCATCACTCACCACTGTCGAATTCATCAGGGATCTGGGAGAGAAAAAGGAAAGGTTTGAAATGGCAGAGGCAGGACCCCAGCATGTCCGCTTTGGGAGCTCCAGAGCTCCAGGTCCCAGAGAAGAAGGGAGAGGCTCACTCCAAACTACAGAAGTGCCTGACCCAACGGAAAGCAAGCTGCCACACCCTTATGGAACACACTCCTTACCTTGACACCGTTTTCATCCACAGGGTTGTTTCCTGCAGGGGAGGGAGACAGACAAAAGAAGGAAACTGGAGTCCAGTCTGCTGGGTCAGGAGGGGGAGGAAAAGGAGGGGCTTGGACTCCCCACTCAAAGGGAATATTGCTAGAGGCACAGCTCCCGGATAAAGGGGGGAAGAGGTTGGGGGCCAGAATCCCAAGTGGGCTGAGACTGAGCTGGACAAACGAGGGAAGGCTAGTCTTTTGCTGATGAGATGGAGACATAGCTTCAGGGACTATGACAGGTTATTCTCCGCCAATACCCACCCCAGTCCTTTGTCCTGGGTCCGAAACCAAACCCAATGGTCTAGTCTCATTCTTCCCACCGTTCCCTTAGTTCCTGAATTCAGGTACAGGGAACCACTACAGGATGGAACTTTTAAGTACAAGGGATAGAAGGTGAATTTCAAGGTAAGCACCCTAGTTGATGGCCTTATTAAGGGAGGAGCCATGAACTCAACATGAGGAAAGAAAGGGGAAGTTTTACAGTAGAAATCTGGGGGCCAACAAACAAGGGTTATGTCTCTTACCAAAAATATAGACGATGCTGACCGTTCCACCAGCCCCAAGCAAACCAGCAATCCAGAGTGCAATTTTTTTGGCATAGCTGGGACCCTCTGAGCCTGCCTGATGCTGTGGCCCTTGGGCCTTGGAGCCCCCACGGTTGGCGACCTCAGTAACCTGAGTGGAGGAGGAAAGAGGAGAGGTCATAGAGAGAAAATAATATAATATTCTGACACTAAATTTGGTCCAAGTAGACTCAAGATCAAGAGCAAGGAAGTGGACATCCAGAGCAGAAAACTGTGACCCTGTAGGGGTAAGTTCTGAAGTTAATCCTCTCAGAGGGTCAAAACTAAACTGCCTAGAGAATCACAGGGGTTCAAGAGCTGAAAGGTTGGATTGCTCAAGGTCTTGGAAGCAATAGAACTGCAGGGTCTGGAGCCAGGAAGCGTAGCCCAAGGAGAAGAGAATGGATGTGTATGTATGTATGTGTTAGCATGGGGATGTCAAAACTAAGGGGACAGAGGGTACCCAAGGGACAGGACACAGGTAAGGTATTCTGACACCCAGAGCCCAAGATGGAGGGGTTTGAAAGAGAAGGAAGCAGAGACCAGGAGAGGCAATCTCCTGTCTGGGACTTAGGGGACAGAAAGTCATGGACTTGGAGGTCAGAACGACTAGGTCGAATCGGACGGCAGGCTGGATCCTCCTAGTTCTCTCGCTCACCGACGCGATGGAAGTGTCAGTGGGACAGAGCCCGGGTCTCTGGCGTCCTGGGCCCCTCCCCCGTCAGGGATCACCTGAATGGTCACAGTTATCAGAACAGGTGACCGCTCCCGGGACCCATGTGGTTGAGACGTGGGCTTCATGGGATGCACTTGGGGCCTCCATAATCCAGCCCTGGGGAAGCAACTATGTTCCACACAGGAAGCACGGAGACCTCGGTAACGCGGGCTCCATACCATTCAGCACCTTGAGGTGCGGTATTCCAGACTCGCCGAACTGCGACCATACGCCCAAAAACTTTAGAAAGGACCCCATAACCGGGCCCGGATCCCGGCGTCGCTCACCTGCTCTGGAGTGCGGGGAGGTGGAGGCGCCAGCCGCGTGCACAGTCCCCGCGCGCCGACCCGGAGCCCGCTCCGCAAGCGCGAGAAGACAGCCGCCGAGGCCGCCATCTTGCGCTGACGCCACGCGGCCCCGCCCACTCGCTCCCTCTCTCCCGCCCAGGAGAGGACTGTGACCAATGGGATCGCTGAGGTAGTGCGTGTGGACGGGAGCCCGACTGGGACAAAAAGACGCGGGCGGAGGACCTTGGGTGCGCTTCTAGTCGGTTTTTTTTTCTGGCTGTCCCCGAGCGCGAAATTGGAATACTGTCATCTGGCACCACGCCCCCTGGAGCCCTAAGGACCGCCACCATCCATCCAGTCGCTCGGACTTTGGCATTCACCTCCCATCGTCAGAGATGGACAGAGGCCCAAAAGGCGAGCTGAACCAGCAGCCCTCAGTTTTTCTCACGCGTACCAGGAGGCTGAACCAGTCTTCTTTCGCGTTCCCAAATCTCTTTCTACCGCTTCTGCCGTGAGTTTCTAGAAAGTACTGGAGTATCTTTCCTTTGCCCGACTACTCATCTGGATTCAACCAAAGGAACATTCCGTGCTGACTGGTTGAGGCTTGAGAGTGATTAAGAAAGCATTTGGGGTGCGGGAAGCCATCATGAGTCTTCCCCAAGTTGTTTTCTATTTACTTATTTATTTATGTATTTACTGATTTATTTATTCACTCATTCATTCATTTTATTAAATGTATGAGTGCACCGTCTGCGTGTACAACTGTATGCCAAAAGAGGGCATCATATCTCGTTATAGATTGAATTCAGGACCTCCGGAAGAGCAGCCAGTACTCTTAACAGCTGAGCCATCTCACCAGCCCCCCACAAGTTGTTTTTAATGGGAAAAAAAAAGTCAAATTTTTTTTACATTTAAACTTTAAAAATCCAAGATACTAAGATAGTAAAAATACAAAGTCGGGCAAAGGAAAGACACAAAAAATTCAGAGATGTTATTTCTGGAGTGGAATCAAATAGATTGGGGGTGCTGCTTGAATGTGTGCACTCTCGTGCCGTGCCACAGGGTGTGGTCAGAAGACAACTGTCAAGGGTCAGTTCTGTTCTTCCACCCTATGGGTCCAGGGAATCAAAGTTGAGTCATCTGAACTAGACTGTTTCCCTCGTGCTTAACTTGGGTGAAAATGTCCCACATGCCTAATAGTGATCAGAACACTGCCTTGACACGGTCTTCTTGGCCTTATATTACTGTAACTGCGTGGAGGGAACATAGGTCTTCAAGAAATATATCTTAATTTTTAAAAATGAGTTTTATTTTGCACACAGGGTCTATGTAGCCTTGGCTGGCCTATAGATCAGAACTCATAGCGATCCACCTGCCTCTAACTCCCCTACATGCTGGGATTAAAGGTGTGTACCACCTGCCTGGATGGGGTGGTCAGAGGAGTCAGTATCTCCTTCCATTATAGGAGTCCAGGGGAATTGAATTCAAGGCATAAGGTCTGGCAGCAGTGCCTTTACCCATTGGCCAATCTCACCAGCTATTGTTTTTGGAGATGGGGTCTCATGCAGCTCAGGCTGATCTATGAGGCTGAAGTCCTTGAACTCCTAACCCTCCTGCTTTCATCTCCAAAGTGCTGGCATTAGAGGCATATGCTACCTTACCCTGATCAATGGCATGTCTTTAATACATGAAGTATTTTATAATACGTTTTGGGCCTATCAGATATGGAAAGGAAGAAGGTCCAAAGCCTAAAATTGTTAGGAAGCTCATTCCTGACCCTAAGTTATCAATCAGACTTACAGAAGCAGTCTTGTGGTTACTGCTCTGAGCACTCAAGACTGTAGGCCTGGAGACAGAGCTCAGTGGTAGAGTGCTGACTTCAAATCCGCTAAGGAGACTGGGAACATGGCAGCAGCACGGGAGAAATGTAAGAGTCCCTGGGAATACTGACTCGATTTTTCACTTACCCACAAGATGTAATTGTCAGTCATATGGCAAGCCGTTTTAAGGAAATCACCAAACAATGGGGAATTTAAATTTCATAGTCAGTATAAGTTAGCATTGTTTCAGCTCTTCCATAAAACCTCTGGTTGTTCTTCAGTTGTTTCTGGCACTTGAGAGCTCTATTCTGGATACAAATCCCTTCTATCCACCTTCATCTTCCAGTCTACCCAGTTTGACTGAGGTACTACTTTCTGGGGATTAGTCTCAAGTCTCCAGGCCAAGCACTGAATCTTTTTGTAAGTCTTTATTTACTAAGGAGAGGATAAAGCATGTGGAGGTCAGAGGTCAGTTCTCTCTTAATGTGGGTTCTCAGGACTGAACTCAGACCACTAGGTGTTACTAACTGAGCCATCTGGCTACATCTGGTTATATGGTCTGTTCTGGTTACGGCAATGCTCACGAACCACAGATTCCAACAGCCAGATTCTTCGTTTTCTAGATCTAGATTTTGACTTATTCTCTCATATTTCATCATATGCTGGGTAAGTTCTGAACAGTCCAAACTCCATTCTTAATTACATCACTTTGTACATACTGGGAGGTTAAAGCCATGATGCAGACCTACTTTATAAAGCACTCTTCATTAAGTGTGTCCCAGCTGAACTGCCGAGTAGCCTCTGTCCATGCCCTAACCCCTAAACAGGGCCTTACTGTGTAGCTCTGGCTGTCCTGGAATTCACTCTGTAGACAAAGATCCACCAGCCTCTGCCTTCCAAAAGCTGGGATCAAAGGCGTGTGTGCCCTTCCCCCAGCCTTGAATAGGCCTGAGAGACCTTGTTTACCACAACAGACCAAAAGATAGGATCTAGGTGGAGTTACCCACCTTGGCTGCCCAGAATTTGAAAGAAGACTGCCCCTGGGCTTGCCTTGAGATATCTCTGGCCATCCCACCCATCTCTCCCCCCCTCAACCCCCAACTAGGAAGAGTTGGGCGGGGGGGGGGGTGGGGGGTGGGGGGTGGGGGGTGTCTTTCCCTTTAAATTGAGAAGCTGAACACTAAAGCATTGAGCCTTGATCAGAGAACTTTGTCTTGGCTTCATCTTTTTGCTCTCCGTTCTCCTTTTGTTCCCAGCCCCCTTTCAGATGAGCCTGGTTGATCCATGGCTGCAGGCGGCTACAGGCGAGTACCACCCTGCCCTGCTCTTGGACTTTAAGACTCAGGCCTATTAATGTAGCAGTTCTCAACCAGAACCCAATACAGTTCCTTACGTTGTGATGACCCCAACCATAAAAGTATTTTCGTTGCTGCTTCATAACTATAATTTTGCTAGTTATAAAACATAATGTGAATGTCTGATATGCAGGATATCTGATATGTGACCTCTGTGGAAGGGTCATTTGACTCTCCCATGAGGAAGGTTTAATACTGTGGTGGTTTGAATATGCTTGGCCCAGGGAGTGGCCCTACTAGGAGGTGTGGCCTAGTTGGAGTAGGTGTGTCACTGTGGGCATGGACTTAAAACCCTCATCCTAGCTGCCTGCAAGTCAGTCTTCCACTAGCAGCCTCAGATGAAGATGTAGAACTCTCAGCTCCTCCTGTACCATGCCTGCCTGGATGCTGCCATGTCCCCATCTTGATAACTGTGGAGAGCTGCGCAGTGCCGCGCCTCTAAGATGGCGCAGGTTTCCATCTTCCGCCATCCCGATGGGAAGAGCTCTTAGGAGTAAACAAGCCCTTATTTGGCTGTGGCTGGTGATCTGGCTTGCTTCCGTGTATGTGGACCTATCTGCTGTCGCCATGTGGCTCGCTGGGGTAGGTTAGTCCTAGACTACTTAAGCCTGGGAGGCGCTCCCCCCCACCCACCCCCGGGTCAGAAGCTTGTTCAAGGTTCCTGAATAAACTGTGTGAAGAGCTGCTCGGGTGTTGCATTATCCTTGCTGGTCGAGGGGGCGCGACAGATAATAATGGACTGAACCTTTGAACCTGTAAGCCAGCCCCAATTAAATGTCTTTTATAAGACTTGCATTGGTCATGGTGTCTGTTCACAGCAGAAAAACCCTAAGACAACTAACCTCAGGTTAAAAACCACTGCAGTAAAGGGACATGTTGTCCTTAATGAGACTGTTGCTCAGATAAGCCATGAACGTGTGATCTTCCTCCCCAAGTCTGCTAAGTAGCTTGGATGACAGGCTTGAATCACAAAGCCCAGCTCTTTCCCATCTTTAACATCCTCTGAAGAGCTCTCTGGAGTCCCAGAAGCATTATTTTTCTAGATGGGGAAACTTAGTTAAAATCTGGTTATTTGCCAACTTAACAACTATACTTAAGACCAAGAAAACTCTTCATACACATACTTTTCAAACAGCTCTTTATTGAAAGACCTGAACACAAAGGCAAGCTGGGACTGCAGAAAGAAGGCAGGAACATTCCTAAGACTCTGCTCTGACTCCTAGAGTATCAGGGAAGGAGGAAAAGGAAATCCAGAGTGACTGCCCTGGCTTGCTCCAGACGCAGGGTTCCATGCTAGGCCAAACAAGGCCAGAGTGGGCTGCTCGCTCCGTGTCTGCAGCACACACGTGGGCTTCAGGCCTCCAGGAGCTTCCCTAGGAAGCGGAGGTTTAGGATCTTGATCTGCTGGTCTTCCAGGTCCATGCGGATGATGCCGTCCTCACCGTCGATGCTCAGCAGGACCCCGGTGGCCTCTCGGTCCTCACCCAGAATCACCTTCACCTGGAGACAACAGTCAGTGTCAGGCCCAGCAGCAGCTTGACACTCCTTCCTGTATCCTCCCGTAGGCCCCAGCTCTACCTTGTTGTTCTTGGTGGGGGTGATGGGCTCCAGATGTTCACTGGAAATGCTGACCACCTTCTCACTGTCTTTCAGGTACACGGAGCACATGCCTCCCTGCAGATGGACCGACAGCCTGCTCAGCCCGTCCTGCCCTCTCAGCCCGTCCTGCTCAGTGTAATTTAGAGCCCGCCCTCCAGATGCCACCGGCTGGGTGGGGCTGTTGCATAAGGATCAGGGTGAGCAGTTAAGGCGACTAAGGAAATCAGTAAAATCTAACTATATCAGGTCAAGAGTGAGCGGGGCACTGTGGCGCATGCCTTGATTGCAGTGCTCAGAGACCGGGCACCGGCAAGAGGATCTCTGTGAATTCCAGTCCAGTCTGCCT